ACCATGTTTTCCTCCGTTGTTGAGCTTCTTTCATGTTTTCCACGGCAAGTTCTTGGCATTTCTTCATTCGATTAATAAGTTCGAAAACGTAACTGACAACATTATTACTTTCTTCAATCGGTTCTAGCCACTGCTCATAAAGTAAAGTGACTGGCGTTCGTAGGTTTTTGCCATGAACTAATTCTGCTGGTGTAAAACCAGTGCTTTCGTGTGTGACTGTTCTGAGAGCAAAAAGAACTGATGGTAGATAATTCTCCCAATCCGAAGTCGCTCCTATACATACGACTCTTTAACACCCTTTTTAGCGTTCTATGGAATCGCTCAACGGGATTACTCTGCGGATGATACACAGAGCTTCTTACATGTTTAATGCCGAAACGCTCCAAAAATTCCTCTGTCAAAGCACTGACGAAAGAGGTCCCCTGATCTGTTTGGATCACTTTTGGGAAACCCATACGACTGAAAATCTGTAAGAAAGCATCAATCACAGATGGCGAAGAAATGTCTGTCACCGCAACAGCATCTGGATATTTGGACGACATACACAGAGCTGTAATAATATATTTTTTTCCAGTCTTTGAAATAGGTAGCGGACCAACGGCATCGACATTTATTTTAGTGAATATTTCGGAAATTACTGGTACTAATGTCATTGGAGCCTTCTTTTTGTCATTTCCTTTTCCAGCGCGCTGACAAGCATCACAGGTTCTTACAAAATCTTCAGTTTCTTTGTAACACCTCGTCCAGTAAAAATATCTAGCAAGTCAAGTCTGTCTTTGGTCTTTTTGACACCCAAATGACCAGAAGTTCCTTCGTGGCACATCTTTATAATTGACGGCTTGAGTTTTTCAGGTATAACGACAAGCTGTCTTTCAAAGCCCATTTTATCCGTCGTTTTTTTAACTAAAAGCTCTTTTCTTGTCAGACTATAGTTCTCATTTTTGCATGTACCTTCTTTAACTTCTTGGATGATTTTAGACAGTTCCTCATCAGCAAGCTGAAGTTGTGCAATTTCTTCTGAGTCAATGTTTACCAGTTTCATGAGAGTTTTATCTTCCGAATTTAGCTCCGGTAAATTATCTTCTTCTTCAAAAACATCTCTGGATGCTTTATTTCTAGGACACGTAGTTGGTTTCGGTTCACACGAACCTGACCCAGAAAAAGTTGAAGCCATACAGAATTTAGAAGTTCCCCGGACTAAGAAAGATGTAAGAAGTATTTTAGGACTATTATCGTATTACCGATCTTATGTACCCAATTTTTCTGCGATAGCACAACCTTTAACGGCGTTAACAAAAGAAGGGCTTCGAACGAAATTACTTGGTCGAAGGAACACGATGAAGCGTTTATTCAACTAAAACGTGCCATTTGCAATGCCCCTAAATGTTACTCTCCAAATTTTAGTTTGCCTTTCATCATTTACGCAGACGCATCGGCATACGCTGTAGGAGCTTGTTTAGCTCACAAGATGAAAATAGTGTAGAACACCCAATAGCCTTCGCTAGTAAAAAGTTGACCGAGACACAAAGAAATTACGCTGTTATTGAAAAGGAAGCGTTTGTCGTTTATCTTTGCCCTGAAGAAGTTTGAAGCTTATATCTTTAGTTCTGAAATAGTCATCGTTAGTGATCATAACCCTCTCAGATTTCTCACCGAATGTTCCTTCACAAAGTTCTCGTTTACAACGCTGGTCTTTAGCATTACAGCGATTTCATGCAGTGATTACATACCGGAAAGGAAAAGATCATATTAATGCAGATTCGTTATCTCGATTGACTGCCTCTCACTGGGAAGCATGACTGACGTTATGAACTATGAACTATAAGACATTTTGACTGTTTAGTTTGAATTTTTTTTTTTTTGAGCTAAAATGCTAAACTTTTTTTTCCTAACGTTAGGTAATGTGTTTAAAGATTTAGCCTAGGGTTTGCTAAAGTATTATGTTTAATGTTAAATGATTGATTTGTATTGTCTCGTTTATATGATAACTACTTATATGATTATGATTATGTGAAGGATTTAAGTTTGAAATGTTAATTGAATGTTACATTTCCTTTTAAATGAATAGGATTACTGAATTTATGTTGAAGTAATTTTAATTTAAAATGGTAAGAATTTTGGTTAATTAAGTTCGAAAATTTCATGATGTTATTTATTTTGTTTCAAGAAATTTTATATATGTGGATTTGACAGGTCATTGAAAGACGCAATCAAATCTTTTCGAGGGGAGGTGTCATGACGTGATGACCACGCATGCGCAGTTCAGCCGAACGGCCTGCAACGCCTCTCTCTCATGAGACTTACTAGAGAAGAGTAGTTAGTAGGTAGTAGCGAAGTAACGAAGGAAATGTGTTGTATGTCAGCTTAGATGCGAGATACGAAGTGATACTTGTGTGTTCATCGTTTGTACTTATTATTTTAATTTGTGTGTTAATAAAGTGTTGTGCCGTTAAAATGGCTGTTTTATGCAACGCACACAATACGATACGTCTACGGTAAGAAGTAAACACATATCCAGAAGCTACACGCCCAAGAAAAGGAAGGATATGACAAGATCTTCCCTTCAGCTATTTCTCTTTTCTTTTGAGCTCTAGTAGAGACAGCATTAACCTGGTGAGGACAACTATCAGGTTCCTTTCCTTGTTTATTCAACAGTGCAAAAGTTCGATTGCCTAATAAATACCTTCCTTTGTCGAGTTCATTTCTAATAATGGCAGCCTTAGTTATTACTCGCCCAAGATCGCAATTTAGTTCGATCTCAGCCAATGGTAAACAGGTTGGATTCAAATCTAATGGCTGTTGCACCCACACATTTTCACCTGTCAGCATTTCCGGCGTGATGTATTTGCGACAAACTATATCAATACTAGCACCTGAATCCCTTAATATAGGAAATTTTATGACCATTTACGTAACCCATACTAGTATAAGGTAATAGAAATTTATCCTCTGGTTTTGCACTAATTCTGTTAAGATTAGCAGGAGATTCAGTACTATTCTTAAGTTTTGGACATTGGGGTCTTAAATGTTGATAGGACCCACACTGATAGCATTGTGGCGTTTTTCGTTTTCATATTTATCATCTGGACGTGGACTTCTAGGTCTATGAAACCAGCTTTGCGAATTAAATCCTGATGACAATTTTTTTTCAGTTTTATTTTTATTATCTGAACTCAATTTAACTTGAGTTAGTGCATTGTATCTTTCTTTCTGCCGATCCACTACAGGCCTTTTTTGAAAGTTTCCGCAAACGTTTTCATAGGCATCAAGTTTTTCAGCTAATTTTTTAGATGAAATCATCTCTACCCACTCATCAAGAAAATGATCTCAAATTTCAGGAGGAACTCGACGTTTAAGTTGGTCAATCACCATCAAATCTAGCAACTGATCAAAAGTCTTAACTCCTAGACCAGTCACCAATTCTTTGCAATAATTTTCTATTTCATAATTGAAATCCACCCATGTGGATTCTGTACTCTTTTGATGTTTCATAAATTTCTGCCTAAACTTTTCCGGGCTTAGTTTAAACCGTCTTAACAATAAATTCTTCACGTGCTCATAGTCTTTAGCTTTATCGGAGGGTTCTCTAGCTATTAACCGGGTTACTTCGTAAGGAAGTAGTCCTAGTAAATGAGATACAAATTCTTCTTTATCAATTTTAGCCCATTCTGCTTGCCTTTCAAACAAATATAGACTGATATCTCCTTTCTTGTCATCGAATTTCTGCATAAGGTGACGCAGCTCCGTTTTCGGCCGGATCTGTCCGGTATTTTGAGACTTTGTCTCTGCTTCAAGTCTTAATCTCTCTAATTCATACTGTTCGTTCCTTCTCCGTTCTTCTGCTTCTTCTGCTCTCTTCTTCTCTTTCCCTTTCCTCTTTCCGTTCTTCTCTTTCCCTTTCCTCCCTCTCTTTCCGTTCTTCTCTTTTCTCCCTCTCTTTCCGTTCTTCTATTATTGTGTCTAAGACTCCTTTGACGAAGACTTCATCATAATCTCTACTTTCAACAATTTTCTATTTTAAATCGACTATTTTCAAATCTGCAGTCACATGAACTCCCAGTTCAGCCGCGAGATTTTGCAAATCTTCCTTACGAGCTCTTCCTAAGTAAGACATTGTTTCTATGTTTAAAATTAACGAACACTGTGTTCTTTATATTTCCTCAAAATAGCTCAATTCAATTACTTTATTTAATTAATGCAGTCCGGAATCACGAAATTAAATGCACTTTGTTAAGTACGTATACCTCAAAAATGAAATATTTAAATTATATGAAGTTCATTCTCTCTACCACATTAATTGTGATTAAAATAAGAATAATAACATAGAGCAATATATATATCTACCGTCTGGACAACTAAAATGAATATTAAATATAATATCAAATACGGTAATAAAATAAGACAATTTATTATTAACAGGAAGTAATAATCTGGTATCACTAATATTGCGTTCAGTGAATAAAGCAATTCTATATGAACAGGAAGTAATAATCTGGTATCACTAATATTATGTTCAGTGATGAACTAATAAAATAAAAATACGCATGATTATTCGATCTCGGTCGGTGCCTCCAAAATAATTAAGACTGTAATACTTCTTTGGCGATATGAAGCAACTCCAATGATGGAACACAGCAATAACTTTTATTTAACACTGAAAAAAATGGCGATATACAAGCAAGAAGAGAAAACATGTTCTAACATTTAAAAATAAATTACATTCTTCGTGCGAGAGTCGCACGTGGCACTCGAGTCTGGTTTCAAAAATTGCCATTCGCAAATACCTTAATGTTCAACTATTTAAATTATTTAAACTACAAGATTTTAATAATATGTAAAACTGTTACAACACGCTTGAATGAAACCGTGTTCCAGTGCTATACGAGGGTTCGCGCAATTTCCTTATCGTGTAAGAGCGAAACCGTGTTATGAGAGGGATACCTATACATTCAAATTTTTGTACATGATTTATATCTTTTAAATTAAATTTTATTGCCTAGCCTTCCCTGAATCCTGAAAATGAGAAAACAAATGATTATGTTCTGCTAAACAAATGGGCCATGCGAAACTTTGAAATTCAACATGGGGACGTAGTAGCTATAATGTAAGTAAAGATTAAGCAGCTGTTTATGTATTTCTGCATGCTGTAGGTACGTGTTTATAAAATGCGCTTTGTTAAATGTTATTAATTTTGCATCTTTTCAGTGTAGGTAAAATTATATTTGAATATAAATTAAGATTAAATAATGATTCAAAAGTATTAAAATTCGTTAAATTATCTTTCTTAATTAGTTATGAGATTTTGATTTTTTTTACATTCGCATTAATATTTGCATGAGTATGATAGACATGTTGCAAATTACTTTCCATAGTACCTGAACTAGTAAAAATAGTAATGTTATTTTCAGTCAAGTGTAATTAATATGTTAATTGTAAATTGTTCAATCTGAAAAATTTTGATGGTCAGTTTACAGAATAATGTGAATTATGACTTATAATGTGTCTTTTAAAGTATATGGTAATCTGTGGTTTGTTGAAAAATGAACTTCAATTTTAAAGTCAGCTTATGTACTTCTCATTCAGAATCCTGAAGATTTCCGATTTTATCAACATCAGCAGAATGTGAAGTTTGAATTTTCAGACGTACTAGAGGTACTAACTTAAAACATTGAGAATTTTGACACAAATGGGAGATTTACTTGAGTTCAAAGGAGGGCAAATTTTTCATGCTTATGTGGTTGGTGTATCTCTAACAAAGGCTGCTTCGATTGGTCGACTCTTATACCAAGTCGGCATAGAGTTGAAAACTTCCAACTTTATGCCCAAACCTCTAAACCATATTTTGTGACGTACCAAGGTTTGGTTACCTAGCAACGAAGGCTCGGCTTAAACCAGTTATTTTCATTTATACCAACGCCTGAACGAAGCCTAAGAAGCGCTGAAGTTGTCCATGTTGTGCGCGTGCGCTGAAATCGTAATCATTTGCATATTTCATCGCGGCAAACAGATAATGCTGGTTTCATGCCGTTTGGATGCTTCCTTCAGGTTGTTGCATTTTGGATAGCCAGCAGTTTAGCTGGACACTTTTTCGTAAAGTGGCGTAGTAAAATAAAAATTGCGACTATTTTTTTTTTGAGGCAAAAGTGTCATGGGACCCAAATTATCGAAATCTGAAAGTGTCCTTTATTTGATTCGTTTCTTCAACTGAAAACAAATTCAAAGAATGAGTCAACAAAGTAGTGCATCATCTTTCAAAAGATTTAGTCGTGCAGTTTCTAAAAATCCTGTGTATCAAATATTTGCTTATTATCACTGTCTATTTCGAGATTTTGGAATTTTAGTCTAATAATTTAAATTTTATACTGCCTTTTTTTAAAAGAATTCTCAGCGCTATATCTTAAGTTCTTTTTCAGTGATCAAGGCTCTCAGAATTTATTTTATTAAAAAAATGAAATAAAATGTAAGTTGCCTCTTTAAGGCCATTTACCATCTTTATAATTTGTTACCATTAGCCTTGTTGATTATTATCAACGAAAATATCGATAGTTTTACTGGACGCTTCACCCTTCATTCTTCAAATTAGAGCTGCCAGGAAAATTTTAAGTAAAACGAGCGTGATGACTAGTTTAGAATAGAGTTAAGACAAGACTCTCACTGACGGTTTAATCAAAACTGATAGCTTGTCAGATACAGAAGACGTTAATTTAAAAAGATCTGAAACTGTTAAATAAGACAAGTATGAATTTGTCATATAAAATGAGCTTCTAGTTAATTTAACTTCCTTACTGTAATGAGTTAAGAATAAAAGTAATTCATTAAAGTTGTTACGGAGTTTACATTTAGATAAGGCGGAATTTTCTGTCTCGGTAATTTTGTGATAATAAAAAGTTCAACTTTTGAAGAGAAAATTGTTAAATGGAGTCAGAAATCATTTTGAATTTCTACGTTTTTAAAATGAATGTCATTGAATGCTATGAATTTACTGTTTTGAAATACACATTTTTGGACATTCATTTATTAAATTAATTAATGCATTTTATTTAAATATATTAAATTAATAGTTGAAATGTATTTAATATGTTGAAAGATGTATAAGATAGTTATTTATTGAAATTATTGTTTGAAAATGCAATTATAAAATTTCAGGACTTGACAAGCAACACTTTGAAATTAAAATTTTGAAAGTTTAGGCATAAGACTTTCTGTGTTAAGAGTTTTTTTTGGGAGTGCCTTTCCAAACAAGTCAGACATTGGAGGGGAAGAGGGGATTAGGTAGATTAATTGATTTTAATGTAAGTTAATGAAAGAAATGGAAGCAGGGAGTGAACTACATGGCAGGAATTAAAAAAAAATTAAGGTAATAATGAGTAGTAAAATAAGTTAACTGAATTAGTATAAGTGCAATAGGACCGCACCCAGTCGTTTTTTGTTGCTTTGGTCAGAGTAGTTATAATTCATAAGAGGAATTGAAGTATTATTTACTTTACTGATCTTTTAAGAATATCTTCGCAATTGTTGCGATAAAATTGTTAATTTTGTTTACATCCAGTTCACTGTGAATTGCATTGTTCCTAATAAACTATTGGCAGTTGGCTATTTGTCTCAGTGCAACATTTTGAGTTTGCTGTATTTTTTCATTTTTGAATCACAAGCAAAACCCCAGACGAAACAGACGTAAGGTATGATGTGCCGCATCATGGTTTTATACACGAGTACCTTGTTTTCTATAGAAAGAATGGAGTTTCGGGAAATTAAGGGGTTGAGTAAAGCTTTAGTACCCCGAAACTTATTTAAAATATATGTTACGTGTGGGGCTTATGTGAGTCTTTGGTCTAAAATAACACCAAGGTATTTATTTCACTTGCTTGGTCCAGGGAATGCTAGTATTATATCTATACTGATTGTGATATTTAAAGCCACTTTTCTTTTGTTGGTGAAGAATACAGCTTCTGATTTTTCAACATTGGATTTTATTTCCCATTCGAGCATCCAGGACATTAATGCTTGGATCCATTCTTGTAATGTGTGCACAACTGAGATCATAGACGCATTTTGGTGGAGGAACGCAGTATCATCTGCGTATAATGCTAGTGTAGTGAAGGGGTTGTGTGGAATGTCGTTTATATAAAGTGAAAAAAGGGTTGGCGAGAGCAACGAACCTTGTGGTAAATCAGCAGGGATTTCTCGGCGTGTGGAGTGAATATTGTTATAACGAACGATAAAGTATCTATCGTAAAGATAAGAATTTATGAGGTTTATGATGTGATTTGGGAAATTCATGGTGATTAACTTGTGAGTGAGTCCCTGTAACCATACGCAATCAAAAGCATTCGAAATATGAAGAGGGCGCCAGTGATGAGTTTCTTCTTAAGTCCATGTGCAATAATTTCAGTACCCGATATAGTTGGTGCGTTGTTGAATGCTTTCGACGGAATCCATAATGCTGAGGGATCATGATGTTATTTTCATCGATGAAGTCTTGTATGCGTTTGAGGATGACAACTTCTGGAATTTAAGGTAAGCAGGAGCGCGTGAAGCAGCAGACTAGTAGACTGAGAACCTTAATAAATTCTTTTGGGCGGCCATTAAAATCTGAAACTTTTCAGATTTTTATTTTAACTTCATTTAATATTTGTAGACGAAATGTCGTTTGCTTATTGATATTTATTATTAAATTAATTTAATTTGAGTAAAATTTTATGAGAGGCACTCTAATAATTAATTTTAATTTGCATAGAATTTGCTTATTTGGTTGGTTGATTGATTACAAGAAAGCACGTGAGGACTAGCTATCTTAGAAAGAATGCTTTCATTCGAAACATCTTAAGGGAAATTGACTTAGATTCTTGTTACACATGGGACAAACCATAAAAGCCTCATGTAGGCAGGTTCCTTCGCCGGAAACAGAACTCGGATGCAATTGCAGTACTGATAGTATTCGTTTGTATTCACATTACATTTGGGAGAAAAGCACGAAAACCTTATTCTGCTGACCGGATGAACCATCAATATTCAGGGATCTAATCTATTCAACTAGTGATGGGCGCATATAGTTTGAAAATATATTGTTACGAAATGTCCAGGCGCGGTAAAATGGCTTCCCCGCAAAGCAGTTTTAGGGTTGCCATAAAATGGCAAGAGAAAGCATGGTTGCCATATTTGGCGACAAATCTCCCATTTGACCACAAAATTGGCGATATACCTTGGACGGTTGGAGAACCTTCTGGATCGAATTCTTACCGGTTTAACCCAGAATGTTCTCGAACACAAGCCGAAAGCTATATAAAAACCCTGCTGCCCCGCAGTCAGTGTGTGTATGCCTCGTCTAGCGAGCTGGTAGTCAGTCATTGAGCGAGTGTCTCGAAGTCTAGCGCCGAGTTGGTTGTCGAGTGCATCGAGAAAGTCTTTTAGTGCATCGTGAATTAGTACATCGTCACGTTTTGTCTTAGAATGTGCTGAGTCGAGAGCTATACTCTTGTGTATCGTCGTGTGCATCGCGTGGAGAGTCTCGAGAGTACGTGGAGTTCCGAGAACAACCAAGCAGAGTTGGGAGCCGTACTCGGGTGCTTTGCAGTGAAGCTGTCTCCATCGTTATTGCCTGACAGTGTGAAGGCTGTGTCGCTGATCGTGTCAGCGTGTTTATAACAGTTCGACGACTGTAAAAGTGATTTTGGAGCTATCTGATTAATATTGGTAAATAACGTGCGTTTCGATACTTCATCAAGTGTCGTCGTTATTCACTCCAAATTTACGAACCCCGTACGAACGTGAAGGAAGAAAATAACGTAACAATATTATTTTTCTTTCTGTGCGAAAATGTCCACTTAGATGCTGGAATTTCAAGATCTCTAAAACAGACGTCGGCTACCTTCGAGTGTAAAACGTCGTGTGTAAAACTTCGTGTGTAAAAGCAATGTTTCAAAATCGCTCACTGGGCCAACTTAGGCTCACGACATTTTCATGTTCAGCAGCCACTAAAACATATTAAATTCATCTTATAGTAACAGGTTTTCGTTAAATTAAATAGCCGTTTTAATGTTTGTTCGCAATGCAAGACTTGAATGCCAATAGCAAAAAATATAAAAACTCCGTATATTTTACAGG